GTTGTCCATCATAAAGCCCCAGTCCACTCTATCAAATGCCTTCTCTGCATCAATTGACAAGAGCACCACCGGGGCTTTCCCTTTTCTACTTTTCTGATAAGCATCAGGGTTCTCAAGCCGTTATCTCTACCCTCTCTCCCTGGTACAAAGCCCACCTGATCTCCATGGATCCAATCAGGCATTAGATCTTTCAACCTGTTTGCTAGAACCTTTGCGCACAGTTTGGTATCCGTGTTCAATAATGAAATTGGTCTATAGCTGGAGCACTGAGAGGGATCTTTTCCCTCCTTGTGAATAAGTACTACATGGGCCTGTAAAGATTCTCTCCTCACCTCCATCCCACCTCCCAGAGCATTCATATACTTCTTCAGCTTGGGTAACAGTACTTCACTATATTTCTTATAGTACTTAACTGTGTAACCATCCGGGCCTGGGCTTTTTCCTCCCCCTGTACTTCTTAATGCTGTTTTAATTTCTTCCTGGGAAATTTCCACGTCCAAGGAGCTCAACTGTGCTTCACTTAGTTTTGGTAATCCCGCATTTTTTAAATATATCATCCTTTTTTCATTAATTCCCTCTCGAGCTTCTTTTAGAGAGCCTTGGGGACTAATGTTATATAACTTTCTGTAATACTCCGTGAACACTTTAATAATCTCTTTAGTGGAGTGGACCAACTCCCCCTTAGGACTTTTTATCTTTTCTATATAGTTCCTATTTTTCTTTTTATTCAAAGCTCTCATTAAGTAAGTATTTTCCTGGTCTATCTCCCCATCTATATCTCTCATTTAAAACTTTGTTATATACTCTTCTCTTCTCCTCATCCATCAAATTCTCTAGCTCATCTTTTTTATCCATTAACTTCTGTCTTGTTTCTTTTGTTATTTTCTTCTTATAGATCTGCTCCAGGTCCAGTATTTCTTTTAGAAGCCCACTGACCCTCTCTCTTCTTTCTTTTTTCTTCCTTGCTCCTGCCGCAATCAAGATTCCTCTTATAAATACCTTATGACTTTCCCAAACTGTAGCTATCGATACTGCCTCTGTTTCGTTCTCCTTAAAATATACCTTAATCTCTTTCTCGATTTTCTGAGCTATATCCTCATCCAGAAGAAGAGCCTCATTTAACCTCCACCCTAAACCTCCAGTCCACCTTCTTCCCCATCCCATTTTCATTACGACCGGGGGCATGATCCGAGAACGTTCTTGTCTCTATTTCAATTTTAACCAGAAGTTCTATAAGTTGATGGTCAATTAAAAATGTAATCTAATCTCGAGTATGTCTCGTGTGCATTAGAGAAGAAGGTATAGTCTCTGTCTTTCAAATGCATTATTCTCCAGGTGTCCACTAGTTGATACTCGTGCATCACTTTTTTCAAAGCTCTCAGAGACCTACCCCCCTCTCTTTGCACAGAAGAGGTAGCGTCTTTTTGTGGGTCCATACAGAAATTTAGATCTCCTGCTACTATCAAACGCCCTTTTTTAAATTCCATTAATTTTTTCAACAGACCCTTCATATACATCTCCGGTTTTCTTATTAGGGCAGTATATATTGGCTAATGTACACTCAATCCCCTGAAGTTTACCTTTCAAGAATAAAAATCTCCCCTCCAGATCGGTCCTTCTATCCTCCAACTCAAATCTCATATTCTTTGCCAATCCTATTGCAACCCCTTTTGCTCTTTTAATTGGAGAGTCTGCGTAATACCATGTTGGATAGTATTTAGATTTCAATTTCACATTTGCCTCTATCTCAAAGTGTGTCTCCTGTAAAAATACCACTGACGTTGCCCTATGATGTAACTCCTTAAACAACTTAAATCTCTTCCCTGGACAACTCAACCCATTCACATTATAGGTTATAAACTGTATTTCTTCCATCCTTCTTAGTTTGCTCTTTCTCTCTTCCAAATTGCCTCTTCCTCTTTATCCCTACTGTCATGCAGAGTGTTGACCCAATACCCCCTCCCCTCTCTCCCTCCAACCCAACTCCCATCCCCCCCATCCCCCCATCCCTCGTTCTTTTTTTTCCCCCCTTCCCATTTTTAGGCTTAAATACTGCCTATAAATCATTTGTGGGTCTATTTCCACCACTGATTTGATGCTTTGGGCATAAGCTCCACCCATGGCCGGCTAGCCTCTCCTTCGACCTCCCCAGGTCCCCTCTCTCTATCCACAGGAGAATACAAAAATCTTTACTTCCCCCCTCAACCGAAGCTCCCGAGGGATTACCATTTCAACAGAGGTGGTGGGCCTGGGGGGTCGAGAGAGAAAGAAGAGAGAAAAAAGAAAGAGAAAAAAAAAAAATTTTTTTTCTTAATTCTCCCTCCCCTCTCTCCCCACCCCCGGGCCCCCCCCCCCCCGACCCGCTGCCAGTCCTCTTTTCTTGTATCTTCTGTTTCCCTTCTTTCTTTTTCTTCTTCTTCCCAGCCCGCTATCACCATTCTTTGCAGTTTCAGTCTGTCACAAAAATCCCTCAGTTTGGTATCTCAAATATGCTGTTACACCATTTTTCCAGCCAATTAAACAAGCTGGGGTACCCCATCTATACTGCACGTTCTGTTTTCTCATTTGTTCCAACAAGGGTCTCAGGGATCTCCTTCTCCATAGGGTCTCTGATGTTAGGTCCGCATAAATTTGGATATTTAAGTCTCCATACTTAATTAATGATCTTCCTTTAATCTTCCTCCATATCTCATCTTTGACCCCAAATTTTTGGAACTGGACCACTGTATCTCTTGATCTTTCCTTCTCCGCAGCTTGATTAAACTTTCCTATTCTAAACACTCCATCCAGTTTAATCCCGTCTGTTTCAGGTCTGTCTCTTATGGAGTTTAGAATTTTTACAACTAGGTCATATAGTGATTCCCCTTTTACATGCTCTGGAATTCCTCGTACTCTAAGATTACATCTTCTTTCTTTATTTTCTTGAACTTCCATCCTATAGAGCAATTTTTTCTGGGTATTCTCCAAGTAAATTATTTTTTTCTCTAGATTATCTATGGTTTGGGCCTGGTTTTTAACTTTTTCCTCTGTTTCTTCCACTCTCGATAAGAGGTGTCTTAAATCATTCCGCACAGCTGTCATTTCATGTTTTATCGTTTTTTTTCCAGGTTTTGGAACATTTCTATCATCTCCTTTTTATTTGGTACTTGTAGTTCACCGTCTGATTCTTTTTTTTCCCAAGCCCTCTGTTGTTAGGTGGCTACAGCTACTATTCATACCCATTGATAATCTAGTACTATTTCCCAGACTAATGTCCATTTCCCCTTTTGCGCTTGCGCCTTGGGCCCTTTCTGGCGTAATATTTCCTTGTGATGTAAATTTCTTTATCGTACCTGTTTGAGACCCTTTGAGCCCTGCACCCTTAGAACCTTTGTTCTTCATGTCCTCTAAATCTCTGATTTCTTCTCTTATTCTCAAAATGGAGTTATATCAGTCCTTTAATTTGTGAACCAGACAAGCCTGCTGTTTTTCCTTATGTTTTTACTCTCCTAGGACACACCTGGAGCTCTTCTCATCTTCTCTTTCTTAACCCAGGGAATCCTCCCCTCCTCTCCTTCACCCCTTGGTCTCCTATGTCACTCGGGGATCCCCCATACGATAAGCCCCCGCAGCTCTCACTCACCCTTCTTCTTCTCCAAACAGTGGCTCCGAGCTTTAGATGTAGGGCTTTCGCAGCAGCTCAGTCCTAGGGGGGATTCCTCTGGGTTTCCGCTTTTCTCCTCCTGTTTTTTGTTAGAGGTCTTCCCATGAAAGCAGGGTGGTTCTCTTTACTCTGCTGGGTCACCCAGACCCAGGATCGATCAGCTGGCCGGGGGTGTTTGAGCACGTGTAAGCCGGCGGCTCCCTCTTACATCGGGACGCCGGCCGGTTTCTTCCTTCTCACAGAGATCCTCCGGGGCTGGTCACGTGCTCCCACCACGTCACCTCGCCTCTCAGCCTCCCGGATCTCTCCCCTGTGAGGCGCCGGGCGGACCAGCGCGTCACTGCCACCTCCGCCCTGGTCCCATCTCCGGCTCTCTCTCCTCTCCTCCGCTGTTCAACAGACTCCGGTGAGTCGGATCCCAAAATCCCTGCTCCAGAGGGTCACTGGGGAGGTCGGGTAGCGGCGCTTAGCAGGGAGCTATTGCCGCACGCTCCCCACAGCCGCCATGTTCAGGCTCCTCCCCTGATCTCTTGGCTGCCAGGACTGAGTAAACTATTCTCCTTCTACATTACTCTTCTATACCCTAATTGACTGTTAGGTTTTTCCACCTTATGTATAATCCTTGTAAACCCCATAAGATTATACTGTAGGCTCTCCCATCTTCTGCATCCTTATACCCTAATGGAGTGTAAGATCTTCCATCTACTGTATCCATCTCGTATACCTTTGCAAAACAGTAAATAAAAGAGTAAATAGGTAATGTACAGTATTAAACAAAAGTGAAACAAAAAAAGTAATGGCTCTAAAGTTTTCACCCATATGGCCTTTAAGTATGCTGGGTAACTGCATTTATATGTAGGTATGTGCCTGTGCATATGTTTGTGTGGTTGATGTTGTGGGGTGGTGGGTACAGTGGTTTTAATTTTTTTATTACATTTTTAATTTGATTTTTGTAATGTTATAACTGACAAAAAGGGCTGCTTATGCTCCTTATGTGATAGTATAATGGTAGGGGCAGATGGTAAAGATTTTTTTCAGCTTGCAAAACTTTTTTTTTTAATTCAGTAGCTTTTATTGTAAAAAAAAATAGAAATGGGAACAATGCATACAGGATATTAAAGAAAAAGGATACAGTCAGCAAAGTATGCAGTGCTAATCCTTGGATAAGCAGATCCATCAACATGTGAAAAGAAGGATCAATAAACATATATAGTGGTGAATTATAGGGAGCCATAATAACATTGACAATACATAACATTAAAAACCATGAATAAGTCACCTGGGGCACTGTGGTAAGAATCTATGTGTTTACATGATCACTACCTAAGGGATATGTGTTATCTGCATAGGAGTAGGGTATGTGGGAACTCGCTTCAAAATGGTAGAGCTTTTCTTGTTTAAGCACACAGCAACTCGCTTCTTTAAGGGCCTTTTGGCCCAATTTTATTTAAAAGAAAAAGTTCAACAAAAATGCTTCCCACGCAGGGGTATCCACCATCAAGCAGTACCAACAAAGATTCAGCCTCCTGGCTTGTATGCAGTTCAATGTCTGTCTCCTGCAGACTCTTCCCAAATGATGGCCCTCGCACACAGCTGGCCACTAGCACACAGCTAGTCTGGGTTCCACCTCTCCTTGGTGAAGCCCACCTGACTCCAAGGCAGATACCTCCTGTCTGCCAGGGTGGAGCCCTCCTGACTCCTGTCTGCCGGGGTGGAGCCCAGAATCATGGCCTGGCCTCCACAAAAAGGCCTGCACACACCTGTGCAATCAGCACGCTGGCTGCTCTCAAAACATGGGCCCAGGAGTGGAGATTTCATCCCTCCCAAATCTCTTAGAAATCTCCAGGCCGCAGGTCCCAAAACAGGCTTTACAAACCAAAGAGGAAACCAATAAACCCGTTTCCTCTGCATTAGGAGCCCCTCAACCTGTATGGTTGAGAATCCTGGGTCACCACTGTGATTTCCACCATGGCAGGATACCGCACTGCCACAGGTATTATGTTTGTAGTAACCTGTTTATTAACAACTGAGATGGGGCAAGTCCAGGTATATCTAGCCAGCCTTGCCACACAGTCTGAAATTTGTGGTGGGCATTACGATGTTGGTATGTGAGTTTTTTCTCATACGAGTAGTGAATTGACATACTGTAGTCTGTCCATTGCTTTTTGATTGGTGGGACAGAAGACAGCCATTGCCTAGCAATTAGTTTTTTGGCCAGATATAGTAGACTAGAAACCATAGTATATGTTCTGGGTTGTAGTGCCTCCTGATCTAAAGCACCCAGTAAGCATGTTAAAGGGTCCTGGGGAACAGTATATTGCGATGCTAGGTAAATGGTCTGTAAGACCTCTCTCTAGTAACTGTTCAATTGTGTGCAACACCAGATCATATGGATAAAGTCACCCCATCTTGGGCAATCAGGGGAGTCTCTCCTGCCCCACTGGTGCAGTTTCACAGGAGTCCTATAAGCACAGTGGAGAATAAATAATTGCAATAATTTGTGGGAGGGAGAAAGAGAAATCACTGGTATAGTACGCCACAATCTCTTTAGGAGTTCCACGGTAGGGGCTTGAGGTGGAAGAACTGGTAAAGCCATTTCAAGGTGGGAGAGGAACAGAGAGAGTGAGATCCAGACGGGAGATTTGGACCATGATAGAATCCCCAGTATCAAGTAAATCCCAGCCAACTAGGTGATGAATTTGAGCCACCAGGAAATATATCCTGGATTGGGAACCGCCAAAACCCTTGAATCCTTGCCATATTGTAGTGTGGATAGCTTAATCCTAGCAGTCTGTTTTTTCAGATTTGGGTTCTGAACTGGGCTTCTATGTGATAAAACCATTTTTTGGGAATCCATGCAGGAGAATTGTGAAGCCAAAACTATTGAACTAATAGTTAATAAATTACAGCGGGTCCAACCTAGGCAATTAAATAAAAGGCCAAGCAAAAAATGAGAAATCAGACCTAATGATGATAAAAAAATATTAAAAATTACAAAAAATTTACTGTATTAGGTAGTACAAAACTGTAAATTACACTGCCCATAAAGCAGTCCTAATATTCTCATTGATGGTCACTGAAAGTTGTTTTTGAAAGCCGTATAAATGTTCATATATTGTCACAGTTAAGTAGTTCTATTGGTATTTTGCTGGGAGGTGAATTGCATCTACAACAATATCAATCTGAGTATTTGATAACATTTTTAATTACCACTGTTTTTTGAGAAAGGCATTCCTTACATCTGATGTAAATAGATAGGGATAGTATCTATTTGCATTATCACATGGTGATAACGGTTTTTAAGCAAAAGTAGGACACATCTGTCTACTTTTATAATATATAGTAACAACCTCTGCTGGAGACATCATAGGTTTATTAGACCCCGATGTCTCCAGCCTATTCAAATTGGGGACAGAGAGCCTCTGATTTGCGGCTTACCTGGCCACTGTGTCAAAAGTTCTGTCAGTTCTGAACCAAAAGCGCTCATAGATGAGCACTTCTAACTCCAGTGAAAAGAGATAAACAAAATTCAGTTCCCTTATCTCCTTTCACTCTCCATCTGGAAATGGCCTACAGATCCCACAGAGTAGCCCACTAAATGCTGAGGTCAGAGGGAGCAAAATCGTTTAGTGGCTGTACTGCTTCCCAAATTTATTCTGCTAAAAGTACAGAGCCACCTTGTTGTTGATCAAGCCCTATGCTCAAGCCCTCAAGAATATGCCACAGTACTTGTACCCCCCAAATATGCCTTAATTACTCCGCTACAAATGAGACTGTCACAAATACATAAATCTCATTAAAAAAATTAAATGTTTACATTAAGGCCTGGCTCACACCAATGCATTTTTTAGTGCTTTTTGCAGAAATGCACTACAGTCCATTTAACATGGTTTCCTATGGGACATGTTCACATGTATGCTTTTTGAACTGCTGCATTTTTGCTAAGATTCAAGCAGTAGTAAACCTAAAAAAAATTAAATGGACCCATGCAGGTTAATGCCATAATGTGCTAGTATGCACCTCATACTCTGGCCTTTTGAATGGTTGGGCAGCGATGACATCACTCAAACTCATGTGTATGGAAGTTGCCATAGAGGCACAGTGCTCTGTATATCCATGGCACATGTCCCATGCTTACAGAAAGTACTGAACTTGCACCAATTACATCATGAGCTTAAGCCAAGGTCACCATCTACTAAAAATCTCAAATTCAAGCTGTGTGAAAGGCACCTACAGGTAAGACTTTTTAATAGACTTGCCTGTAGGGTAAAGCCATTTTGTATTTAACACCATTTTAACTGCCCCCCACCCCAGGTGGATTTCATATAATGTCCTCCCAGTTGTGCACCTCTTGCGCCCCCTAGAGGCTGTGCTACAGCATGACCTGTCACCCACTGTGTCCACCAGCAGAAAGCAAAAGAAAGCTCTATCTGTCTCAAAAGTTTAAAAAAATGTCATTTGGGAACAGTGTTGCATAGCTGAGTAATTGTCATTCAAAATGTGACAGCGCAGAAAGCTGAAAATTGGCCTGGGAAATAAGGGGTTAAAGTGTGCAGCAATGAAGTGGTTAAATATAGTTTTCTGCACACAGAAAATGGCAGAGATTTAATCAGAGCCTTAACAGAAGAAATTCATTAGAATAGTTGAAAATTTGGTAGCAACCAACTGGTTGGTTAGGGATATGCTTACTTGGTGCAGCAGCCAAGACTGTATGTAACATACAACATAGCATAAGGAGTGCAGTGGTCAAAAGCATGTAACCTACAAAATAGTATACAGAGGACAGTGATAAAAAAAAGTATATAACATGCAATATTATATAAAGTACAGTGCTCAAGAGTATGAATGTAGTATACAATACAATGTACAGACAGCAGTGATCTGTAGTATGTAGGATGCAAATGGAGTGCAGTGGTCAGGAGTGTGTTATATTCAACATAGTGAATACATTGCCATATGTGTCATAAGTATGTAACATACAGTAAGGTGTATAAAGTGTAGTGGTTAGGAATATGTAGTATACAGCACAATGTAAAAGGTTCATCAGTCAAGATTATGTAACATACAGCTCAGAACACATCTTAAAAAGTATACAATATATTGCTAAATACATTGGTGTACAGTTTTATAAAAAACAATCCCTTTACAATTGTGATCAGTGAGAGGAAGAAAACCCCTTGCATTGGTGGTCAATGGGAAGATGAATGACTTCTTACAATGCTTTCAGTGACAGAAAGACTGACAGAAAGATTGCCTCTTATGCTGATGTCAGTGAGAAGACAGACCCTTACATTAGTAGAATAATACCCCAGTGTAGGTGATTGTGGGTGTGTTTTTTATGTATGTATGATAGTTGAATGAATATTCTAAGTACCCTGTCATCTGCCTTGTCTGTACCTCTGCCTTGTCTTGGGGCCAGAACTTAATAAACGCATCTCTCTGGATGAACCAAGTTTCTGTAGGCAAATTCATTTCCTGGATAGAAGAGTTTTACATTCCATATCGGCAAGCAAACTCTTGCCCCAACAACAATAATTATTTTAACAATAATTATCACTCCTCGTCCTTAATATATGACAACACCCAGGATTGGCTGAAAGAATATAAAAGACACTCTGTTTCCCACCCCTCCAGCTCTGCCATGTTACATCAATGCTGGAAGTATGCAGGCAGCTATGGTTGGGAGATTGCCCCTCACCAAGCAGAAGACCATGCCATTTGCCCTAGGTGTGTAGTTCTAGTGATTACCCCATTTGTAATTTACATGCTTTTGTCACATTGTAGAGATAAAAAGATTACTCTTCTACTCCCTGGATCTGCATTATTACATGTTAGTTCAGTTTTAACACTTTCATGACCATTTACCTGATAACTTGATCTAGCTGGTGATGCTGATTTATTGCCCAACAAATCAGCTGCCCAGCTTTACAGTGTGACAGTGGTATGCATAATATAAGATGAAAAAATGTATAATTACAAATTATTTGGCATTCAAATGGGAAAACATTGGTAGTATGTACATTATTTCACTACTATGTGTATTTTTGCATGGGTTTCTACTTTAATATTAAAATGGATGAAGTGGAATATTATACACAATAATCAAAGATAAATGTCTGTATGTGAGAAGAGAAAGTGGTGGAGTGCCTTGGAAGAAAAATTAGATTTATATACTGAAATTAAGACTAAAATTAAAGTGTTACAGTATGTGAAGGTAATTTGGATGCACTTCCATGGATTCATTTTTTCTTAAATATGTCTTTTTATATTTTGCATTTGAGAATTTTCCACTATCACATCACTATCATCAAAAATCACACTAAAATGTACCTGGGGGTTAAAAGAAAACGCTATTTACAATAGCCTCAACTGTATGGGGACTTTCTCTCCCCATTGGCTGAGACAGAAGCAGGAGTCCATTGGCTAATTTGGATCCCATTGCTTTCAATTACAGCCAGTGAGCCAATGAGTAGAGAGTGTGAGAAGGGGGGGCGAGCTGCTGCTTTATGTGTCTTATGGATGCATAGAGTAATGACTCAGGAGTGAGCATGTAGCAGTGCCACCAGGGCAAGCAGCAGCTTTCTCTGGGGGAAGTGCTCAAGGGGGGAAGTCAGAGCACCAGCAGGGGACCCAAAAAGAAGAGGATTGGGGCAGCTGTGTGCAAAACTACTACACAGGGCAGGTAAATATGAAATGGTTTTTTATTTTAGGGAATAAAAATGAAGCTTTAGTGCCATTTTAAATCTACGGATTATATGCTAGCTCTTTAGCATAGTTAATTAATCTACAAAAATGTTGATCCTCAATATTTAAAATAAAAAAAGGAAACTATATGGCAGGCTTTCCTCCTTTCCCCAGAATGGAACCTGCCACTTGGTATGGTATATACCACCA